TCCAGCACAGGTATTTATACCATACAAGTTTTGAACAGGCTGGAATTGTACAAGACATTCCAGACAGGAGAGTCACCTCGCGGAGCTGCAAAGCTTGTGTTTCCCACCACAAGTACGTCCTTGGCCTTTAAAGGAAACCCTTGAAAACTCTGTTCCTGGAGGCAAGGAAGCAAACACCTGGAACAGCTGAGGTGAGACGCGTCAGCCTCTGCAGAGCATGCAACGGGCCCGAACCAGAAGATACCCCTCAGCCAAGGGAGCTGCTGCCATCTTCCATAGGATGAGGATGGAGTTCAGGCTTGCAGGAATCAAGTCAGAAGCCCAACAAAGAGTAATTTAACAGAAGAGATGTTTCCACCTTGCTGTTTTCGTGTCTTTCAATATTTCATTGTTTTTAAAAAAAGAGCAATTCCACCATCTCCCCAGTTCCCCAAGCTACAGTCTCATCGGTCCCCTGGTTTCTCCCGCATGAGCATTCCTGGATACACAGATGATTTTTTTAAAGCTAAAATGACTTCCAAGACGAAGCGTTTAACACGTTTTAAAATTACTTAAAAGCAAGAAACCAACCTCTTATTTCTTCCTTAAGTCTCCATAGATGCCAAGCCTGGATCAGGAGCGACATAAGGTATATAAACACCTGAAAAAGCAACACTGAATTCTAAGAAATTTACACTTTTGTTGATCTAGCAACCCGCTCTCCTAACACCGCTTATGCACTAGAAAAAACAGGCTTTGGGTAGAAATTTAACTTAAAACAATGGGAAACAGAAAAATTACTGAACCTGAAAAATCATGATCTCAGAATTAAAGGCCATTTAAATAATCCGGAGTGAGCAGTGCAAAGAAGAAAGAAGTCCAGATTAGCAGCTGTGTCTCTACACAAATGGAACCATTCAAGTTATTTATCCCACCTACCTCCAAACAATGAAGAAACCACTTCATTTGCTGTTGAGCTCCTTTTTAGGAGACGGGCCTCTAGAGATGGAGGTTTTAGGAAAGACCCAGGTGCCAGTACTAGAAAGTAACTTAAGAAGTCTAAGATACAGGAACAGGTTTGAAAAACAATAGCATGAAGAACAGCTGAATTACCAACTATTTCAGAACATCCTCTCCAACAAAAGTATCTCCAACCAAAATCAGTTTAATGCCTCAATTGATTCCCCCCCGCCCCGAGTTTGAGATTTAAAAAAAATCCATGATGTGAAAAAACCTTCATGCCACCCCCACCCTGCTGGAATGGTTCCAGGCTCACCTGATGGTATCCGCAACCCAAAGCGCAACAAACGGATACTGATTCTCCCTCGCCAAGATGAGAAGTGCAGACACATGAATTACACCAGGGGTTTTTTAAAGACTTTTCCATTTTTATAATAATTTTTTGCTACACAGGTAAGAAGATTTATACAATAAAATTTTCAATCGAAAATACTTTTTCACAACAGTGGAGCAAGCCGTAACTGCCATGTGTGCATTTCACAGTACATCGCTACCTAGTACAAAGATGGACAATATCACAATCGAGATCAGACACTCTGCTTATCTGCCGTCCCATCTCATTCCATGGCAATGGAAGAGTTATCTTTGCAAACGAGTTCACAAATCAAACCTCCGCAGCTTATAGAAATCTCCATCCCTGCAAGACGATAACAAGACGATTCCAGCACAGTTTCCTCAACAGTTCAACTATGTAACGCGTGGTCACTAAGATCTACACAGACAGGCACGCAGGCACAGACGTCAGTGCTATAACGAAGAGGGAGTCTACACAGACGTAGATCACTTCAAGTCTCTGCTACACGTCTGAAGATGGACACTGACCAATCGTCTCTGCTTTCATTCCCTTGGAACGGAGTTAGCGCACCTGGGGGAGGTACCTACCACAAGCTGCTAGCAGCCTTTGAGCGTGGCCTGGGATACACAAGGGTAATACTGATATTCCTTCACTACTTGCCGTTCCCCTCCACCCCAAACCAGACTTGCAAGCAGGAAAGAAGAACCTAACGCAGCAATTTAATAAGCTAACTTTTACAAGCTGACTCCAGAGACCACCTTCCTTCAGCGCAACACACACGGACTGGTTCTTCCCACAGCAAGAAAAGACAGAGGCATTTTCGGCAGAGGTCCATTCCTGTGGGCACACAGCTGGCATGCCTGCTCCTGCCCCCTTCTTTCAAAAGGGAACTGTGGTCTGTTTCAAAGAATCTTGTCATCTTTTACCAAAGGCGAAAGCTACCCCTCCCTTCCGAGAACAATAGCTTCAATGACAATTGAGTTCGAAAATCCAGGCCCAGCACACCAGTCACTGCTTTGCCTTTTTCACAATGGTGCCAACAGCTGATATGACTGTAGTTTTGGATCCACTTGCGCTGGTTGTCACTGTGACAACGCCTGGCAGTGTTGCAGTAGTGGTGAGGATGGTGGGCTGAGCTATCGTCGTGACAGGGATGGCTGAGTCCCACTTGCTCTTCCTCTTCTGGGCATCTAAGAATTCGATCAGATCAAGCAAATGAGGATTAGCATTATGTTAAAGGCCACCAGTCCCTTCGTAACACCCTGTTAATACACCGCTGCTTGACTAGGCAGCTTTCCCTCACATTAATTTCAGCATACGCTGGCAGTAAATGTTGAGGAGGAAAGACAACTTTATACCTCAAGAGTCAAAGTAAAACTCTACACCTGAACTCCAGCCAAATGGGAGACAGGTTCACTCCCTGCCCCAAAGCATATCTAATTTTAACAGAGCACATGGATCTCATTGCTCAGGTGCGGGTCCAGGACCCACTCATCAGCCTCTAGGGGTTTCTCTCCCTTCCTCCCGGTTTAAAAGGCAGGCTGTAGGCAGGAGAATGATTTTCAGTCTTTCCGAATCTCTTGAGATGCATCAGTCCCAAGAACACCCTACGACCCCAGACATCAGCAGGCTTCTTGACCCACTAATAAATCTCTTCGCTATCCCGCCTGTCCCTAGTCTTTCATTCCAGAAGGACAGCCACGGGCAATGGGGACTAGAGGAAAGCTAGTCCATCAGCCCCTGGAAGAACACTTTCTTGCATCGTATAGGCACTCAATAAGGAGCCTTCGGGGTTTCCAGGAAGCACTAATCCCAGCATTACCGCAGCTTAACAGGTAAATCACAACTGTTCTTTACCTCCCACAGTGGTGCTGGCCGTTGTGGTGGTTGTAGAGGCGGCGCTTGTTGTTGTACCCTTTTTAGTGCCAGTCACGAATTCAATCTGGGAAGGGACAGACACACAGGAGAAAGGGGAGAAGATAAAAATGAAGTATTAATATACATAGTCTTTTTTCAAACCACATCGCCTCTCTATGTTGTTAAAGAACAGCTTTAGTGTCATGTGAGACATTGGCCTCCAAGCTGACTGTCACGCCGAAAGAAAGACGTAGATCTCAGGCCCAAGGGTACTGAAGTCATAATTGTTAAGGATTCCTGCAACCCCGCTCCTAAGTCAGATATGATAAAAAAGTGTTTGTTAACCGGCATAAGCACAGGAATTTGATACAGCTCAGAAAGGACAGATCCTGGTCGTTAACGAATGTATTTTATACAGTTAGAAATTCTTGTTCTTTTTCCCTTAAGAAACATGCAAGACAAGTCCCTACCTGCACGATTTACTGTGACTGCATCATAGCAGGAAACCTAGCAACAGGAGCTCTAACAGCATGCAGTCTCCTGTTTTCAAAACTGCAGATATGGGCAAGGACGTAACCAGATACCGGGGTTACTGTGCAAAAAACGAAACAAGTAGCAAGACACAGCATGCACTGCAAGAAAAAAGTACCTCCGCATACTGAATATGTAAGGAGCCTTCTGTAAGGTTAGATGGCAATCTCTGACATTAGACAGTTTTCTGATGCCAGCCACTAGCTTAAAGGCAACACCACTGAAGGACAGGAATAAAATCTTCCAAAGCCTGTCTGTGTTCTTTCTGGGGGGTACATAAGAACGTACATTTTGCGACAAGCCCGGTTAAAGTTAAAATAGGCCCAACGTTTCTGGAAATTAGATGCAAGAAGGCAATATAAAGGAGAACAGAAAGCAGATATTGTCTCACAATGAGATGTGGTGAGGAAATTAAGCTATAACTAGGCTACGTCACAAGACAAAGTGTCATAGATTAAGAAAAAAAGCTGTTCTTTATGCATTACCTTGCCCACATCTGGCTTACTGAATACCATTTTAAGAGCTCTGCTTTAAATATACTGACAAAACAGAAGGAAATCCAGTTGAGTAAACAACCCAGAGAAATGGACCTGTAAGGAATGGCAAACAACTTCATCTGCGCAGCTTGGAAAAAGACATGCAAGAAGAAAGGACAGAACTGGGGAAAACCAAACAGAATTAGCACAGTTCACACCCAACAGCAAAGCAACAGAATGACATTCAGCAGG